TTGTATCCATTTACCAACAAAAAGCTCAAATATATCCTGTTTTATAGCTGAATATTACTCAATTGTATAAAAATACCACATATTTCTTATTCATTCTTCAGTTGATGAATCTGGATTGTTTCCAGGATAGAGCTATGACAAATTACTGTGAACATAGGTACACATATATCACTGTGGTATACGGTTTTCTGTTCTTCTGGAAAAATGCCCAGGATGGGAATAGCTGCCTTGAATGGGATTTCTAATCCCAGCTTTTGAAAGAATCTCCACACAGATTTCCACAGGGGCTGTGACAGTCTGCACTTCCACCAACAGTGCAGAGTGGTTCCTTTTTCTCCACAGCCTCTCTAGCATTTATTTGCTGACTTCTTAATGTTACCAATTCTTTCTGGGATGAGATGGAATCTCAGTGTTGTTTTAATGTGCATTTCTCAGATGACCAACAATGTTGAACATTATTTTCATATACTTACTTTCTACTTGTATTTCTTCCTCTGAGAAGTGTATATTCATCTTAGATGCCCTTTTTTGCCTGTATTTTAGGGCAGGGTCTACAGGGCTCACTGCATAGCTCAGACTCCTAGTGATTCTCCTGTTTACAGCCTCTCAAGTGCTGGGATTACAAGCGCATGCTACCACTCCCAGTCTCACCATCTCAGTGTGCCTCGGGGGCAGGACCAGCACAGCAAGCCTGTGGGGGATCAAACACCAGCCACTGTGCTCTGCTAAAGCAGGTGCTTTAGTCTGCTAAGCGATCAGGCTGAGGGTGCCCATTTTTGATTAGGTGTTTGAATTTAGGGTCCTGATTTCTCTTGATTATTACATGTTCTAGATAGAAGACCTTTGTCAGAGAGACAGTTGGCTATAATTTTTCCTAGATTGTGGGGTTTTTACTCTGTTGGAGATGTGCTTTGAAGTGTAAAATCTTTTGAAAAAGACAAGATCCCTGTTGTTGATGGTTTGAAGAATTTCCTGTGCAGTTTGGTTTTTATTCTTGAGCTCTCTACCTACTCCTATGTCTTTAAGACTTCTACCTACAAACCCCCAGACCCAGTCCTAGCCCAGGTCTGGTGGGTGTGTGGGAGAGCTTCCAGATACCCTGCGCCAGCGGGACTGACTACGGATCCCCAGGCACAGTGTAGGTGAGACCTTCTTCCAACCCCTTGGGACGCCCCCCACCACTAAGCACCTCCCCCACCCTGCCCGCCGAGTAGGAATTTCTGCCATGTTCCGGGACCCCCCAGACCCAGTCCTAGCCCAGATCCGGTCAGTATGTGGGAGAGCTTCCTGCTAACCTGCAACTGCGGGACTGACTATGGATCCCAGCCCAGGTGCAGCATGGGTGAGACCTTCTTCCACCCCTTTGGGACGCCCCCCCACCCTCCGCAGCACCTCCCCCACCCAGCCTGCCAAGTAGGAATTTCTGCCACATTCCAGGAACCCCCAGACCCAGTCCTAGCCCAGGTCCCTTGAGTATGTGGGAGAGCTTCCTGCTAACCTGCAACTGCGGGACTGACTACGGATCCCAGCCCAGGTGCAGCGTGGGTGAGACCTTCTTCCACAAGCTTGGGACGCCCGCCACCACGAAGCACCTCTCCCACCCCACCCTCTGAGTAGGAATTTCTGCCTCATTCCAGAACAGCCAGACCTAGTCCTAGCCCAGACCCAGAGAATGTGTGGAAGAGCTGCCTCTCCCCCCTACTCCACCTTGTCCCCTCAAGGCTCAGCTCAGGCCTGGCTTACATTCCTGGGGTGTAACCCTGCAGCTACATTCACTGCAGAGAGTGGAGAGGATAAAAACACTCAGCTAATCCAGGGGAAGAACATCTTGCCATAGGGGCACAGCAGGTTCACCCTCAAGGGCAGCAGCAGGCGGGAGCTGAGCACAGCAGCCAGACCCAAGCCAGGCACAGCTGGCTAAATCCGAACTTTGTAGATCTG